ATTATATAAAATGAATAGATTTGAGGAAGCTTTAGAAAATTATGATTCAGCAATTTAGAAAAATCCAGAAGATGCATACTTTTATTATTGCAAAGGTACAATTAATTATTGATGATTTCATAGCTATTGCATTAAATAAGATGAATAGATTTGAGGAAGCTTTGGAAAATTATGATTCAGCAATTTAGAGAAACCCAGAAAATGCTGACTTTTAATATGCCAAAGGTACAATTAAATATTGATGATTTCATAGCTATTACATTAGGACAAATGAATAGATATGAGGAAGCTTTAGTAAATTATGATGCAGCAATTTAGAAAAATCCAGAAGATGCAAACTTATATAAATGTAAAGGTACAATTAATTATTGATGATTTCATAGCTATTGCATTGAGACAAATGAATAGATTTGAGGAAGCTTTAGAATATTGTGATTCAGCAATTTAGAAAAATCCAGAAAATGCTGACTTTTATAATGGCAAAGGTACAATTAATAATTGATAATTTCATAGCTATTGCATTATATGAAATGAATAGATTTGAGGAAGCTTTGGAAAATATTGATTCAGCAATTTAGAAAAATCCAGAAGATGCAAACTTATATAAATGTAAAGGTACAATTAATTATTGATGATTTCATAGCTATTACATTATGTAAAATGAATAGATTTAAGGAAGCTTTGGAAAATATTGATTCAGCAATTTAGAGAAACCCAGAAAATGCTGACTTTTAATATGCCAAAGGTACAATTAAATATTGATGATTTCATAGCTATTACATTAGATATAATGAATATTCAGTAGGATGCTTTGAAAACATATGATTCAGCAATTTAGAACAATCAATCAAATTCATGGATTTAAAATAAGAATGGTATACTATGTAAGATTAATTTTTTAGTTGAAACATTAGAAAAAATGATCAAGTTTGAAATATCTTTGGAAAATTATGATTTAGAAATTTAGTTAAAACCAGATTAGAATGTCAAAGGTATAATTTTATCTTTATCAGTTTATAGCTCACACATTATTTAAAACGCCTACAACTCTAGAAACTGTAGAAAATTAACTTAATTAGTTATGCACTTTCCATTGAATATCACATATATTCAATTATATCTTATCATTTATACTGTTTTAATTTCCTACCTGTTGGCAAATACTTTAAATTGACATTATTTAGAAATGTTACTATGTCATTCTAGTTTAAAATTGAGTGCCAATTATGAAAATTTCTTTTTCTCTTTTTAAAATTCTTTGGTAAAACAATGCCATTCATATTTATACTAGTTTACATCTATTTCTTTTATATTTAGTCAAATTAAATAATTAGTTTTTTAAATTTCACATTCAAAACTATTATTTAACTTTTTATAAATCCCAATTATCAATTTAATTTCAGATGGGTTTTTAAAGGTTTTCTTACCCTAGTTGGTGTTCCTGAAACTTGAATTTCGTCTAACACATATATTTTTACTATGTTAATTCATTTGATATTTCCAGTCATTTTTCAGCATTGTCTTTGGGAAATAAAATAATAAAATGGCTAAAGAGATGTTTGGATGATAATATGAGTATATTATAAACTTAAAATTGAACATTCTTGAATTAAATTTGAAGAAGGATAATATTGTGGCAACTGAAATAATAAAGCAAATTTTTTATGTTGCTTACTTTATTATTCCTAATGCATGGTTCCTTAATCCTTTAGGGTTATTAACATTTTAAAATTTTTGCTCCTCTGCATTCAAAGTGAATTTGGGCTTTATGAGTAGTTTAGATTGAATTTGAATGTAATTCCGGAAGTTTATGTAAAAGAAACTGCTAAATTTGTGTGAAGTATTATAATATCACTTGGTTAATGAATCATAGAAGTCTTAATGAATATGAAACAGAATAATAACTATATTTTTAAGCATTCCTCATGATGTGCTTCTTTTTATTCACATTAGAGAGTTGCTAATATTGTTTTGAATTTTGATCTAAATCTGAAATTCTAAATGATATTCTCTTACGCAGGATGTTAATATTAGTTGCAAGTTATGTGCGAAAGATTATAAATTTGATTTTTCTCTTTGGAACTACTTAAAGAGCTTGTTCATTAAAGAATGGCATGACTTATCTGTTGTTACAAAAATAACAAGAGAGAAACAACTTAATCAATTTTTTAAATAATTTCAAAATTAAAGGGATAAAATTAATTGAATTCACGTCATTCAATTTTTTTTTGGTAATTATTATGATAAACTTATGAAGAGGTTATAGTCTTGAAAACTTTAGCAAGTCAATAAAATTTTCCTGAGTAAGGAGGTGAAATGTGGGCTTTACAAATTTAATTTAATTA